TAGGGTATGTGACAATTTTTAGACCATTGGATTTAGGGTTTTTTGTTAGTTTTCAAATTATAATTTTTTTGTGGTATTTTGGGCAAATTTTCCCATTTTTATATATAGGATATTAATAAACAAATATTGACATGTATTCGGTGTTAGCAATTCTAAATTTCCAAGACATGTGTTTATTGCTCATTTAGAACTCAGTAAGATATGTAAAAGAGATCTATAAAATGAAATAGGTCATTAAGAAGACAAAGAAATATCAAAGTTGGAAAAACCAAAATGAAGAACACTAAAATCAAACTGATATTGAGATTAATCTCATAAAGCGAAGAGACTATCTCAAAATGACAATTCTCTAGAGTACAATCCATAACTACATGTCATATTTATACTCGTATATTTAGATTAATCTCATATAATTTCGTCTCGTGTAGGTCACGCGTTTAACATGCGGCGGTTTTATCTTCGCCGTTCGCCTCAACCACACGATGACCGACGCTGCCGGTCTCACCGGCTTCCTTCAAACGATTGGTGAGTTTGCGAGTGGGAAACACGCGCCTTCCGTAGCTCCGGTGTGGGAGCGTCACCTTCTGAGCGCCAGGGTCCCTTTGCGTGTGACGCAAGCACACCGCGAGTATGAAGAACAAGCTGCCGTTGACATGGAATCCGCCGCAGGCGACGGGGATAATCTGGTCGGCCGATCTTTCTTCTTCGCCCGTGCCGAGATTTCTGCCATACGGAGGCTCCTCCAACCGGATCTCTCCAACAACAGCACCGATCTTGAAACGCTGACGTCATTCTTGTGGCGTTACCGCACCGTGGCTCTACGACCCGACCCGAACAAGGAGATGCGAATCATGTTCATCGTCAACGCGCGTTCCAAGCTCAAACTACCTACAGGATACTATGGAAACGCGTTTGCGTTCCCGGTCGCAATTGCAACGGCTCGAGATCTTACCGAGAGGTCGCTAGAGTTCGCTATGGCACTAGTGAAAGAGGCGAAATCGAGTGTGACTGAGGAATACATGAGATCGCTTGCAGATTTGATGGTCACCAAGGGGAGACCAAGCTTTTTGATGGATGGAGCTTGCTTGATATCAGATGCGAGAATTTTTGCAGACATTGATTTTGGAATTTGGGGGAAACCAGTTTACGGAGGAGTCGGGACGGCCGGGATTGCGGAATTTCCAGTGGCTAGCTTCTGCGTTCCGTTTGAGAATAGAAAAGGTGAGACTGGGTTTATCGTACCAGTTTGTTTGCCGGAGAAGGCGATGCAGAGGTTCGTGGATGTGCTCGACGAAGTGTTTAACGGCGATTCTGTATCCAGTGGACGAAGCAAAAAAAACCCCTAAAAAGTTGATCATGTCTCGGCTGTAAAATGATTGCTGGGGACCTTGGGGTTTAGGAGTTTGGTTCGGGTTACCGACCATACCCTTATCCGATTTTAATTATCCAAATTTCATTAAACTTAACATATTCAGATCAAATCAACACAGCTTCGCCAATCTCTTCAAACCGAATCTGATACAAGCCCGAGACACTATTATTTGGATGCATACAAGGAGAGGAATCTATCCAGATCGATTAGGATTACCTTCTCTAGCACAAAAAGCATTTACAAAGCCTCACAGTTGAGTTCAACTGATTGTGTTTCACAACAGAGTTAAAAGCCACATACCAGTCTTATGAGGAGCGAGTGAGGTTCAACAAGGCAGAGGTGTCCAAAGCATTGAACTCCTTCACTGCCGTAGCAACCACAAGGCCTAACTTCACAGCATCATGCTCACTCTGCGCCTGCGTCCAGTTGGAGAATTTGAGTGAGAGTTTGGCTACCAAAACTAAAAGCCAAGCTTTATGCATATGTTTACCTCGATGTTAAGGGGAAGAACAGGATCGTGGAGAGAGAGTCTGAGAAGAAACCATCCACCGAAGCCAGAAACTCGGATCTATTTTTTTTTTTACAAAAGGAGATGGAAAGATTTATTATGCAATGCAGTAGAGGTAGATTTTACGAAGAGAGCAATCTAACACTCACCCCTTCAAAGTTAACTGGAGCTCTTTTAAGATTTGGATTTGTTTCTATTGAGTTCGATACATGTTGCAGGACCTTCTCTCCATACTCCCGGAAATCTCTACAATTTTCAGTGGTTACTTAAATGCCAAAACAAAAACTAGTCAAGAACTGAAGTAAGTCATCAATCATACCTTCCTTCAAGGTCAGGATGATTCTTGTCGATTTTAAGCCTCAGTTCTAAAGCCACTCTGGGCTCCTCCAGACCTTCAACAAGATCTGTTAAAACTTTGCTGCCACTTCCTTTACCAGCAGCTCGGGCCGAAGCCAGTTTATTCAAGATTTTTACCTGCATACGGCAAACTTCAGTTTCTTTATCCTTTTCTTAAAACGACAGCAATCATGTAAGTGAGAAAATAAACTAACCATGAGATAGGCCCCATCATCTAGCCAATGGTTTTCTTTTAGAGCTCCATGACCACTGGTTTCTATAGCCAGATGGGATTCCTCTCCAATGGAGTTCTGCCATCAGATAACAACTTATATTTCAGATAAGAAATATCAACCGTCCATAAGGAGCCATACTTATCTAACTCGAGTGAAATTTAATAATATACCCTTTTCTATACTCAGCATTCTTGACACTGAATCAAGTCTAGCAGAACTTAAATATCTAGCAAGTGAAAGCATGAGTTCTCGAAAGATATGATTATCCAGAATTATTACCAAGCGAATTGCTTCATCGATCACATTCTTGTAGCCTCTTTTGAATCTGTGATGCTTTCCCCCTAAAACAAGTTTGGGTCACTGAAAAATTTACAGAAAAATAAAACAACACGGTGTCAAATTGTTGGCATACCGAGCTTCTTCTCAATGAATGTGGTCAAACCATCTGAAGTGACGCTGTCTGTAACAATAGTTGTGCCAGGGTGCTGGATGGACAAGGAAAGAACATCAGGACACAAAAACCTGTTATATACAATATATGTGATACCCAATCAAGGTAGTGACGAAATGGTTAGATCATATCTCACTTCCTCTAGAACAATGGCTGAAAGCAAGGCAATAAGACGATTACGGTTGAACTCACGGCCAGTTGAATCCACAGCAGCAGACCTTCATCAAAATTGATTGTAAGAGGCAATCTAACAATTTCTCTCAAGTAACACAGATAGTTGCAGTTACTACCTATCAACATCAGTATCAAAGATGATACCCAAATCAGCCTTATTATCAAGAACAGCCTTGGTTATAGCTTCCATTGCCGACTTATCTTCTGGATTAGGGATATGATTTGGAAACATACCTGATATCCAGAAGGTTTGATTAACTATTAATCAAAATAGGCCAGGATATACTCATATGCATAGATATTTACCATCGGGTTCCAGAAATTGACTGCCAGTAGTAATTGCTCCTAAAGGCTCAAGCACCTTGGCCTGTAAGGTTCCAGATGAAGAAAAAATCAACTTCGGACAGGTCTAAAACATACAGTTTGGATAAAAACAAAAAATGCCTGAACGGACAATTCAGTTTCAAGTCCTATTACCTACAACTGAAAGTAAAAAAAAAAAACAAACGCGAGCACTGGACTTACAGCAAAAAATCCTCCAGCTCCATTTCCAGCATCAACAACTATATGGAATCCCTCTAGAGGCTTCTCTAAGAGTTAGAAACGCCATAAATTAAGCTTGATATATCAGCAGCAGGTAAATGGAAGTTAAGAACTTTATCGATTATACAAAAATCTCAACGGAGTACTACCTAAATCTCCTGCTGCTCTCCGAACTGCCTTTACAAGACCAGAGGTGTATACTGCCATGTAGTCAACCTTTTTAATAGAAGAGATTCCACTCTGTGATTTCCTCAGATTTTCATCAGAAACATTCTTGTAAATGTCTGCAGCTCGCTCCAAAATGTCTTTGATATCAACCTTCCCGAGCCCTCCATCACTGGTAAAGAACTTGAAACCGTTTCTGTTGTATGGAAGATGGCTTGCTGCTCAAAATAAAAGCGCAACACCATATGAAGTACAATATAGAAACGTATCACTAAGTGATGACTACTATTAAGAGAAAAACAACTTGTTATGAAACCCCAGATCAATAAAATACCTGTTATCATAATAGCCCCATCAGCTGGGCATAAGAATGCTTCATCTTCAGTCAATGTGCTATTAAACATTGCTGGTGTTGATGCTAATCTGTAAAACAAACATAAACCGATATTCGAGAGATGTACTTCAATAAGTTATATTAGAAATGTGATTCAAACAACCGTATGACCCAGCAGCACTACAGTCAAGAGAGCTATCAAAATTCTTGATTGTCATTGCTTCCAGTTACAAGTGCAAATATAATTTGGTAACATGTGGCTGTTATCATACAATGAATTGCTCATAAACGTCTACTGAGGAATTAGCATAAAGTGAATATTCCAGAACAGCAAAGGCTAATAATCACTCACCCGAACTGAACAACGTCTAATCCAGAAATACCAAGACCTCGAGATACCGCCTCCTAAAAAAAAATAAACAATCAGTGGACAAATTACTTAATCCAATTACATAAAGGGATAGTGTTTCCAGAAGTGAAAGAAACGTACTGGACTAAAATTTTGAGAGTAAAGAGATATGTCGACCAATCGCTTAAAACTCTCAGCTATTACCACATAAAAGGTCCAATAAATCAAGTAACTAGATACATACCAGCAAGGTTTGTGCAGATATACGAGAGTCATGGCCAACAGATACTCTCAACTGCCGGGATCCAGCCTTCTTCTTGTGTAACAGCCATTGCCCAAAAGCAGCAGCTATGGCTTCCGTCACTGGTTCAGGAAGGCTTACAGGTTCCCCCTCAACACCAGTGACTGCTACACCCCGAATATCACTGGGGAGAGAACAATGAAACGTAGCGTGAGTCAAGTAGGGGAAAGGAGAAGAATTAGATAATTTAATTTGTTGAAAGGAAACGACATCAGACCATTCCAAAATGTGAATGCCTATAGTATTTTCTATATGTCGTTGAACAGAGAATTATTAGTAAAAGATTAGCTGGTAAGTGATGTATGTTCACCTGCCGTTCTGAAGCTTCATAAAATCAGTTTTGTCAAGAGATGGCACAGCAGCACTTGACAAAACAGCTGCAAATGAAGATTCAAAGTAAGGCATCCAATTTCAACAAGAAAACAAAGATTTGAGAAACACCACATCTCTTTGCCAAGAAACATAGGAGGAAATAATACACAAATGCAAGGGCTATAAAAGCATCGATGCCGAAGAAGAAGAAAAAAAAAACTAAAGACGCAAAACCAAAGTGTGAATCAGTGGCAAAAGCTGAAGCATGCTCCTTCATCCTAAACCTTGATATCAAGAGTCTAGAACGGACCATTACAGTAAATAGTTCTTTGATTGGAAACAGCAGACTGGTATTTCGACAAAGTGTGTGCTCGCAAGGAAGAGTTGAGGTTCCATGTCAGCTTCCCTCTATGACAGGGAAGTAAAGCAGACATGAATGGTTGGGGTGATTCTCTTTGGTATGGTGTCTTAAACTGCTTATTGTGTTGGTAGTAGCAGCACTGTACTACATTAAACTTTTGGAAAACCTTCCCTGAAAAATTTCATACTTCTCTATTAGCTCTTTTATCTCTGTTTCCCAATTCCCGGAAAATTTTCAAGTCAGATAAAAATGGTGAGAATGATTTCAGTAAGAAGCTACAAAGGTTTTGATCATCAGAAAACTTCAAAGTGATACTGCAGAAAAAGAGTCAACCTTTTTGTACAGATAATTTCCTATTACTTTGGACCATTATTAAATCATTTTGATCTGAGTTTTGATTTTAAACTCCGACAAGAACAAAACACTATGAAAAAATTGACTGGATCCAACTTGGGAAGCGTGGCTTCAAAACCAGGCAAGGGCAAAGGCGATATGAGTAAGGACTAAGGAGGTAATAGAACAACACAATCGAAGTTACGAAACAGAGTTATGAAGATTGAAATTTTTTATTAAAGCAAAATCATATAAGAGATTTCTACCTTCCATTGGAGACGAGCTCACGAAAACAGGCGATATGGCTCTGCAAGTCTGGAGATTGGAGAAGGAGATGAGACTTGAAAGAGCAAAATGTTTTGGGAATTAAAGTTTGTTGAGAGAATGGGCTCCACAACACAGTAAAGTTATGGGCTTTTTCATGAAATCTATGGGTTTTCAAGAATGTTCGATCTTTTTTTTTTTTTTGGGGGGTCAATAATTCGATTTTTTTTTTGTTTTGGAACAGCAATTCGATCTTTTTCTATAACATATACTCTATTAATCAATTTTAAATTACACTTTTTTTTGT